TCTAGTGAGTGATGTGTGATAGATGCTAACAAGCTTCAACATATCCGACAAGTTGCAAGGTACCACCAGCATATCAGTTTTCTGAGAACTCAAAAAAGAGACATGTGTTCGCTTACGAAATTAACTCTTGCAACAGATCGCATATCTTTTCGAACAGAGTACTTTGAATAGACCTATAGTCACGCTTACAAAGAATGTACTGTTGGAGCACTTTATTGTTTAGCTGTTCGATATTTCTTATTGATTAGATCAAGTAATAGTTAACTATATAAAAGCCAGGATGCTACTACAAGCACCCCATTTTTCAGGGTATAGAGCGCATTTGAAGGCAATTTTTTTGACTGTCTTTGAGCATTTTTCTCTATTGTTAACACGAATAACTGAGGAAGCGGAACCAAATGTACACAAAACTCAATAATCGTGACGTAACGTAATCCAACGACAATAAGCCTACTATTGGTAAGACCACTGGTAATTCAAGTGAACAAAATCAGCTACTGGTTTTTGAAGTCATGAAATCGACAACGCTTTCTCTCGGAGTATACGCTGAGTTTGGCGCGGCGCCAGCCCTTTTCTTTTGCGTTTTTTTTTCAGCAAGCGACGAGAATGAGTCATAAATTTCGTATCTGACGCTTCCCAGCTAATGTTGTCGCATACTCGCTCTAAGATTGGTGGAGAAGGAGCTGGCGGCGCACCAAACCCAGCTGCGCTGACATGCTCCATCATCCGCAGCACACGGCTGTACAGGGAAGGTAAAAAAGACACTTTGCCCCATTCACATATCACTAAAGGATACGCAGCCAGAGAGAAGACGTGGATACGAGTACCAGGGCGGAAGATACCCAAGATGTTCCTCGATAAGCAGGAGCAGGCTCTCCTCACCTTCATGTACACCAAAATATGAAGCCATCTCCAATCGCAGCCGGACTGGAGAAGGCCTATGGAATTCACGTCACCTCCAAACAGCTGCGAAACTTCTTGTATCGGAGTCACCCATGAGCCTGGGGGCGGACTAGATCTGGAAGACCTCCAACACAGCAGCTCCGACAACGTCGCTACGGTCCAGGACATCATCTTCACCGCAGTCGCCAAGGCGCGGGTTGATGGTATGGACCGGAAGTTCCTGGAATGGGAAGACCGATATTTTCTTCGTGGACCCGGACTGAAAGTGAACGCTGACGGTTACATCGACCAGCTCGAGGAGAATATCCTGCCTTCATGTCGTCGCCTGTACCATCTTGGAAACTTCGTACTGCTACAGGATTGGGTGCCAGCACATGGAATCGAAGGGCGTTGAGTACCTGAAGAAGACGGAATATCCAAGTGTGTCACCTGACCTAAACCCCTCGATTACCGGGTCCGGGAGGAGCTCAACAGGGTGGTCTACAGTGGCGGAGAAATCAACGACCTCGCTGAACTCAGGCACCGAATCACGGTCGCGTGGCAGAATCTCTCGATGGCGTTCGTCAGCAGAAAACTGTGGCAGACTTGCGTGTGCAATGTGTTGTTGAATTTGATGGTGAAAATGTCTGAGAATTCAATAAAGTGTGACTTATTTCGCTGTGAAAGTCGAGAAAAGTGTTTTTTGGCGCGCTCCGGTAAACTCTTTTAGATTGTCAAGCCCTCTTCAAGCTGCCCGTCGTTTCGTCGGTCCATTTATCTATCTGCTCCTTACCAGGGATGCGGTCGAGTTTTATAGCAATTATTACAGTATTATTAAGTACATATGGGTGGCAGTTCTAGCGAAATGAATCCATCGCCCATCGTTGCTTAAAAAGGCATACATTTAGGGTTTGTCCCTCAAAAGTTAGTGACGCCCTCCGCATTTTTAGAATCTGCGTATCAGGTCTTTCGCGGCATGCCATATCGAGATCCAGTTATGTGGTCTACTAGAAAGTGTGGTTGAGTATCATCCCAATAGGCTTCTCTTTCGCAGTCCGCCCCCTTGTTCTCATGTCCAAAACGGTAAGTTGAATTTCAGTCATTTTCGCACCATTGTCGCATATGAATTTCACTAAGTACAACGTAGCTGGAGGCCACGAAGCGGCCTTCCTCTGAGTTAGGCCTGATGGTACCTTCCACAGTGCGACGTTGAAATGGCCCAATTGCTTCCGCTCTAGTGACTTCTATCTGGGAGAAAAACTCTGTCCAAGGAGGCCACTCGCCTGGATTTGGACCTACTGTGTTTCTCGATTAAAACCAATTCGGTAGCAAATCAACTCGCCATTTACCGTAGTCCTATACCTTGACTGTTTCCAAAAAGCAGAAATGTCAGACCTCGCTCCCTTGAAAAAAGTTTTGAAGTCCGCTCAGTTTCTCATGTATTGACCGATACTCCAAGGGTAGCTCTTGCTTGTACTGTCTACAAGTTCTCTCCCGCTTCCGCCTGCAAGACTGATGAACAACGTTTGCTAACTGGATATGGAGCGAAAGTGGCCTATAGATGAATCACTCCCGGAAGCGCCAGTGGCTAGATCCCCTAGAAAGGGCAGAACCGATCGCGCAATCCTATCAATCCAGTAGGGCGGTGAGACTGTGTATGTGGTGGGGTTTCTTTCTCTCTTCCTTAAAGGAATTTCTTCTTCTCAGCGCTGTGGTAACCAGCGAACCCTATTGTAATCAACTGCAAAGGGGGATGAAAATCCCCACCATTTGGTCCCACAACCGAGCAATGTTTGCCTACTCCACCACAGCTCAGGGTCACACATTTGGAAAATGACACTGCTCGAGATCTTGAAGCATAGCTGGAAAATTCCACTATGTAGCCCTGACTTAGCGCTTTTCCGATCGCCATCTAAACTAATCCCTCAGCGCCATCTTCTGGGTAAAAAATACGATTTTTGAAAGTACCTCAAAAATGACCCAGCTGCCTTTCTCGGCACGGAACCAAAAAGCTTCTGGAAGCAAGGCAACCACTCTTTGCCTGGTGGTTGGCAACAAGTTGCCGATGAAGGTAACATATATATTGTTGATCAAAATTGCTTCTCACTGGAATAAACTTAACTCGAAAAAAAGTTCGAAATGGTCACGAACTTTTGGGACAACCTAATATCTCCCTCAAAATAAAGTGACTGTATAGTATACGCATGCGAATATTCAGGGCTCTGAAAAAGGCAATTTTTGCGGAACGTGGGCCAATAAATTTGGTATATTAACCTCGTATAGGGTTGAAGCGAAAAACCTTACAATCGATGCGATGACCACTTTTATGGAAAGCCGTACACAGCGCATGCAATTCATAGCGTTGAGAAGTAGGCTTGTATTCCCAGTAGGATTGCAACGAAAACATGTTTATGGGAAGGTGAATAGAAGAAATAGAATGAAAAAATAATGAATAGAAGATGAAAGTGATCCATATCATCTTACCAGATTGATTATTTGTTGCATGGCTATGCCCAGAGTGACGACCACAGGCTTTGAGCTGTCCAATACTGGTCGTTCCTCACGAACGTAACCAGCCAGGAGATCGTTCATCAGTCGCATCTCTGGAGGCGAACCTCGTATTATCGGCGCCAAAACGAGCACCAACAACATCACTATAAGAAACATCGGTTAATACCAGTGAAAGTAAAATACAATCAAAAACCCTTGACGATTTGCGCGCAAACTTTCCTCTATCAGCTCGGAGAATAAAGGTACGTGCCAGTGGCAATGATTTCGTAGTGGCACCTTAAGCCACTTGCTACCACGAACTGCGACAGCACCGAAAACCACGAAACATAGAAGGGTTGTGAAATGTGACGAAAAGATTTTGCTTCTTGAACATTTCCATTTTGAGTCACTGGACTCGATAATTTA